CTAGTTGTATCCTCATCATAATTGTAAACGTTGTTAATTATCTAATAAAAAGCCCCTGGCCATAGAGGTCACCTTAACACTGTAAAAAAAAAATAAATTATTAAATAAAGATACAAGCAAGGCCTCACCTTAAAACCAAAAAAAAATAAAATAAAATAAATAAAATAAAATAAAATTTCAGTAATTAATTCCCAACTCCGTACATAACTGATCGTGGTTATGCTAGGTTTGTAATAAAAGTACCCTTATCTGATTATTAACTGGGTACTTACTTGAGTAATACTTGGGTTTATCTACCCGAGTATTACTCGGGTATGTCTACCCGGATATTACTTGGGTATATCCACCCGGGTAATACCCGGGTGTACTTACCCGAGTAGCTGTAGTCATTACCCGGTTATCCGGTTACCCGCGGTTAACCCGAATAATACTTGACCCGAGTACAATTACTAAATGTATTATAGATTTAAACCAAATTTTTTAATACCGATGCAATATTAGATAATACTACTAGAATAAAATTGTAATGTACAAATACTATTACTAGATAATAAATTATAATGCTAAAATGTTTATATCAAATTGCAAAATTTACAAATAGAATTTAATACAAATTCGGAATTAGAAATGGAATTTAGAACGAGTTTGGGATTTGGGATAAGTTTGGGATTTGGGATGAATTTTGGATTTAAAATGAGTTTGGGATAGAAAGTGGGATTTGGGTCAAAATTTAGGTCAAAATAGTTTTAGTTTGGGCCAATAGTAATAACTATTTGGATAGCAGCTATAGATGTAGGTTTGTTATAACGGCTTGTTATATAATAACTTATTATTACAGTTTGTTGTATAACAAATTCGTTGTATAACGAACTTGTATAAGTTGTTGTTTGACAGTATAACGGCTAATCGCTTATAACGATTTATTTGTAATGGTTTTGTAACGGCTTTTAACGGTTTATGTAACAGTTATGTAAAGGCTTTATAGCAGCTTTATAACAGTTTTGAATATTTGAATTAATTCAAATTCATATCATGAATTTATTTGAATATTCGGTTAATTAAATATTCGTTTCCAACCTCTAGCCGTGGCAATTTTGTTGTGGCAGCTATGGTTAATCTAAAAAAAAAAAATTTAAGTATTGACTACGCCAAATACTGTATAATGACCAGTGTTGTTTTATTTTCTTTTCGGATGATTTCGGAATTTCGATTTCTAACTTTGGCATTATGTTATTATTATACTCATATTATACTTATTAGAGACCATATTTTCGAGAATATGTTATCAATTTTTTTTTTTTTTTCATTGAGAACATATATAGAATACCAAATGTTCTCAAATCTAAAGGTATGTTCTCATGAGGACATAATATTTCCAACACTGGTTGTGACCCTTAGAGATCACATTCTATGTGCAAATTGCGGAATCTACTATCATAGTTTATGTATTTTCAAGTGCATTGCGATATAAAGTTAATTTGCAAGAAATTTGCCGGCAAGACGATATAAGAGATCTAAAGTTTCTATGACTTTAATAAGGGTTTTCATGGAAATTATTGGGATCGGAATCATAGAGCATTTTTGCTCAAAATTAATCACTTTGTGACTCGTAAAAAAAATTATTACTAAAAAAGCTTATAATCATTTATATATTTACGAAAATTGATAAAAATTTCTTACATCTGAATCATAAGAATTGCATGCCTTTTTTTTAACGCCCCTAAAAAAACTTATAAATTATACCAAAATTGAGTCCGAAATAGTATTTTCAAGCAGGATGTTTTTTTGGCTGCAATGACCCCTGACTCAGAGCTGGAGCTGTCACAACTCAACAACTTATAGACCATTCACAACAATCATAGAGGTCGGCCCAACACGTACATACTGCTATACAACTACTGTCCGCTTGAGTTCTTTTCACGCTTCCTATTAATATCAAACAATTTTAAGAATTTTTATTTCGTAAGTTTAAAGAATCATAAACTTACTTTTAGGATTAAATGATAGTCCAGGCATTGCAGCTACTTCGAAATTAGTTTCAATTAAAAAGCTCATAAGAGCAAAGATGAATAAGATCGTATTTAATCTCATTTTATTTCGATCTTGAGAGTATCACAGTATTCTTTCGAAATTTATATGTTGTCGGATCTTACCCATTTCTCACGATAACAGGTCGTTCACAATCTATGAAATTACTCTATTTGTGATAGATTTAAGTAATATGGCTTATTACAATGATGATTAGTCCTAACCAATTATCGACCTAAATAAACAAACAAGTTTGACAATGAATTTATCAATTTAACTATATAAATTAAATTATTTTGTTGTTTCAGTATCAAGAATTCATTTACAATGGAAATTATCTATAATAACAAGATCATTTACAAAATATGTGGGGAAATTAGCGTAAATTACCGTATACAAGACCCGGGTCTGGTACTTTCTACCAATTTTTAAACCATATAGTCAGACCCGAGTCTAGTACACTTTGAGAGGTTATATCATGAAAAGATAAAAATTTAAGTGCATACACACTTTGTATTTATAATAGGCAGTCTAGATATTTGCATTTGATTAATATAGATTTGCGGCATCCGGGTCTAATTCATGGTGGATCTACTATTTGGGAATCTTGTATACGGTAATTTACGGTATCTGAATTACAAAATTAATATTAATAGATGACTAAATCAATCTAGGTCACGAAACTCAACGGCTTGTTCATTTTTTGCTTGTGCTATAAAAAATCAATAAACCTATAGACATCTAAATCAATAATAAAGACAAGCATAATTAAAAAAAAAACATATTATCAGAAACAACAACGTAACCTCCACCAACTTCACAATCTTTCAATTGAGATCTTTCCATTATCTTGGCGCCATTACAAACTACAACTTGACACTAAAGATGTGACAATTGTTATTACAAGACAAAACAAATCGTAACAACCAAATATTTAATATAGAAATCACTTTAGTCCGCACTTTTAAATAATATGTACTTATCCTCAATGACGATATTATCCAGTATTGAGTTTGAGATTTTGCCATTTTTGCCAATTGCGCAATGTGCACCAATTGTTGAACGTTTAATGGAAGTACGTTCATCAATTTTCGTGTCATCTCCAACTAACGAGTCCGATCCAACCTATTTGAAGCAAACGAGGAAAAAATAACGGTTACACGGATATATATATTTATGTGGCATATGAATCCTAGACTTACTTGTGCTTTCGAATTGATTTCTGCAGAAGGGGATACACGCGGATCCATATGTATTTTCGTCATCTACGATAATAAATTTTAAACTCTAGATATTCAAATCGTATAAAAATAAAGCAAATTAAACTATACATGACGATTCAGGTCACAATATTTATAAATTGTATTTCCACGTCCACAAAATCCAGTTTTATATATAAAAATTTGACATCGTACTGGAGAATTTTTGTCATCATCATTCCATGAAGCAGAATATTTAAGTGCGGTTTCTTGATAATTTTTGTAAGTTGCTGCCACTATCAAATTTATTAAATTTATTAAATTTGAGTAGGGTGAATGATATATACAATAAAATTATTTAATAGAATGTATATACTGTACTCACACTTGTTAATATCTTCATTATCCAACAACTTTTTTTGATATTGGCATTTTATCAACAGGGGAACAAGATGCTCTCTCACACTAGAAATAGCTTTTCTCTGCACAATTAAATCAATTACCCATCGTTTGAAAATATAAAGGTGTGCGTCTTGAAGGGTTGTGTGAATATCAATACATGGAAACCTGTATAAATGAATGTAAAATGACTCATTAATTATCGTTATAAACTTTCAGCAAATAGATAAATTTACTTACTTCCATAATAATGACATGCGTAAAGAAAATTCTTCATCTAGATCAGCACTAGATGCGACATATACAATACGTGATTTATTGGTATCTACACCAACAATTGGTTTTGGATCTTCTTTTTAGTAGGATAAATAAGAATAATTAGGACTAATCAGTAAAAAAAATAGAAACAGAACTTAAAAAATTTAATAACATACTATCATCCTTATTACTACCACTACTTCCGCCTCCACCTTCAGATTTATTGGGTTCAAAATATAATGTTGTAAATGTTGGATCATGTGTTCGATGGTAATCCAGTAATCGATGAGGCACCAGGTCAAAAACAAGATCACAACTCATTACAATAAAATCGCTCTAATTTTATTTACGGTTTAATTAGTTGAAGTTTAAATTCGCACTATTCACGAATAAAAAATAACAGTTACCTTTATTTTTTCACTGAAAATTCTCAACACATCAGCAGTCCCAACGTCTTCTCTAACTACTTCCATGTTTGGTTTCAGCTTCCCTTCATAATCATTTTTAAGATAATGTCCAATTTTGTATTCACCAACTGCTTCAGTAATAACTAACACGTCTAATTTTTTGAAATTGAATAAGATTATTCATGTAAATTTTCACAGTGCAAATGAAGATGAATACCAAAAACTCCTGCTCTTTCTAACCAATCTAAAACATAATAGAGCATTGGCTTATTTGCTATTGGAAGTAAAGCTTTAGGAAGATTATTATCTTCGGATAGCGGATATAATCTATATTTAAATTTAAAAAACGGTATATATTTTTAATATCAAATCGTATTAATTTAAAAAATCAATATGAATTCTTTTTACTTATGACCATATCCTGCAAGGACGATTGCCTGGAATTCAGAATATCGACCCTGTTTTTGTTTACTTTGTTTTTTATCAGCATCGAAAAGCAACATTTTTTTTTTTTTGATTGTGATGTAAATTTTATAAAGCCATGAAAATTTATATAAGAATGCCGTATTATTTCGGCCAATCAGCATAAGTCACAAGTAAGGACAAATTTTGCCTATCTGCTATCGCTTATCACTACGTACGTACGTACGAAACCGCCTTCTAAATATGATATTTATATTAATAAAAAGACTCGGGGTATAATACAAAATCTACCCGACAAAAAACTCACAAAAACCGAGTATATGGGTGTCGCCAAGGGAATTCTATATTGTACCGGACATTATCTAATTTATTAGGGATTGTATCCGGTATAAAATATACTGATGCCAGGTTTTCCCTTGGCGGCGCTCGATGTGTCGGAAGAAGGAAAATTTCAAGTACGTACATACCTGCATTTAAAGAACTCATTTCACTTGCTTATGCAAATTTATCATATTCGTTAGAAATTTCTTGCATGATTGATTGCATTTTTATAGGCTATTATTAAATTTAACAATTAATATATAAAAAATAATGAAAGTAAATTTTAAATTATTTATAAGAGAAATAAAATAATTTTTAAAATTAATTTTAAAATTTGTTTACATAATAAACAATTAAAATTTGTATTAAAAACATTTAATAATAAAATTTATAATCTACTAATTATTTTGAATAATTTTACTATCAAAAAGTTTAATTATTAAAATTCAATTACAAAATTTTAAAATTGTTAATATTTTGTATTTAATTCTAGAATACTTAAAATATATACAAAATTTTAATATTTTTAGAACAAGTTTGCTAAAATAAACCTATAGTGCTAGCTATTTTTCTAAGTAAAAATGTTTAGAATCTCTAAAAATCTTATGAAAACTAAAATTAAAACCTTATATTATACTGTATTATATAAAACTTTTTCTTTATTTTAAAACTATACTCTAAATTTTATAAAAATTATATATACAGTTAGAACTTCATAAATATATACTATAAATACACAGACTAGACTTATAAAGCATAATATTTAATTGTATAATTATATAGTATATAAAAATATAAATAATTTTAGAATACTAAATACAAAACTTTTAAACAAGCAATTATAAGTTTATATAATAAACTAAATAATAAAAGTAAAATTTACAAAATTACAAATTAAGATTTAAATAATAATAAAAAGTATACAAATATTAAAAAGCTTTGAAAATTTAATTAATCAATATTAGTTTTACTTAAAGTAGCAAAATTTAAAATATTAATTAAACCAATACAAAATAATTGAAAAGTAAATAGTATTAACAAAATAATACAAAGCTTGCTAAAAAAAAATATATTCAACAACTCTTTCTGACGATCTCTCAGACCAACTTTTCAAAACCAAAATTTCAACAAAAAACAGTAAAATATATTTGAGAAAAAGGATATAAGACTAACAAAAACTATAAACTGGCGTCTATTATTTAGAGATAGTTCTCATATGCTATCTGCTAATAGGTTTAGAGCTTATCACTCACCGTGGAGATGGCACTTGTTGTTTAGAAGTAGTTTTTATATGCTACTTGCCAACAAGTTTAGAGTTTATCACTTACCGAAAAAGAGAGCAGCAGTATGCTCAGACCTACTTGTTCTACTACTTTTGAAGAAATATATACTTTCTTTAAAGAAAAGTACTAGGTCGATACTATTTACTA